CCCCCGCCTCGCTCCGCCCAAGGGCGGGAGGGCGGCGCCGCGCCCGCAGCCCTGGTCGCGGGGAGGAGCCTTCGCGGGGCCGACGGGGGCGAGGGGCCGGAGGCCGGCGGTCTAGCGCTGGAGCCCGGGCTGGGGAACCCCGAGACCTCAACCCCTGCCTGGGCATCCCAGGAGGCCCCCAGGCCGCCCACCTGCTGCCGGCCACTCTCCCAGTGCAGCTTTGGCAATTAGCAGCGACGAGTCGCAGTCGCAGCCAAACCTGCCCTGGAGGCTTTCCCTGTGTCCGCCCTGCCCCACCGCCCACCCTCAGAGCAGACCACACGCAGGGCCTGCTGTACCCTCTGCCGCCGAGGGAGGGGGCCTCCCGCTGAAAGTACAGCAAACCGCCCCCCTCTTCACACACCCAGAGCTACCAGGGGCTGCAGCTGGTCTCCCGGAGCCTTGGCCAATCCCTGCCCGGTGCCCAGCGACCTGGACCTTCCCCCGCTCCTAATGGGTGCCCAGCGGCCTGGACCTTCCCCAGCCCCTAATGGGTGCCCAGCGGCCTGGACATCCCTGGCCCTGCTCGATGCCCAGCGGCCTGGACATCCCTGGCCCTGCTCGATGCCCAGTGGCCTACACGGTGTCACACACGAGCACAGCACACAGAACACACAGGCGAACAAGCTGTCGGTCCAGTGGCCCCAGAACAGACACAACAGAAGACGGTGGGAAGGGAAGGAGGAGGCGCCAGCCACTTCTCACAGACCCAGATCCAGAGGACAGGGCTTGGTCACCCTGACTGCCAGCCCCGGCCTCCCCCACCCCAGCAGCAGCCTGGGCCGAGGAGCCAGGAAGATGTCTGCAGGGCAAGCCTCGGCCGGCGCCGGCGCTGTATTGAGTTAACCACGTCCAGGAGCCTCCCGAGTTCTGGGAATGACCCCAACTGCATCATGGCCCGAGCTGAGTGGGGGCTGGGATGGGATGGGGCGACTGCAGAGGAGGGTGCAGGGAAATCCCGTCCCCCCAAGGCCTCCGCCATTCCTGAGCGAGGGTGGTGGGGTCCTGCCATCCAGGTGGAGAGACCTCTGCCGTCTTGGTGTGGTTGCAGACGTTGTGCGGGGGAGACCCGAGGACCGCCTCCCCACTGAGCTCCCGGGTCAGCTGCACCCCTCAGGCCCGTGTGGCCAGGGCCTCCTGCCCAGGAAGGTTGAGGAGACAGCGCGGTTTCCCCACAGGAGCGGACTTCAGCGTCCCTCCAGGCAGGTGTCCGACCCTTGGCCCAGGAAGGAAGGGTGGGGCGCAGACAGCCCTCGTCGGCAGCTGTCAGCACAGTCCCGTGGGGGTCAGCAACTGGACTTGGGAGGATGTGGGGCAGGCCGTGGGGGACCTAGGACTAGCGAGTGAGTGAAGTGCACGCAGGCCCCTCCGGCTGCACATGCCCGAATCGGACCCTGGCCCAGGCCCCATGGCCCCGCCCAGCCACCCCCCCCCATTCTGGACTTCCCACTGGCTACTCTCCTCAATGTGCTTACAAGGGCCCTGCAGCACCCCTGCCACGAGCCTCACCCCAGCCCTGCGACCTCTGGCTCTGCCTCCTCTGCGACACGCTGGACTACACACACCGCCGGGCCTCTGCCCAGGTCTCACCCTCTACACCTCCCGCATCAGCCCACAAAGACACCCTCCTGGGTGCCCAGGGGTGCCCAAGCCCAGCTCCCTTATCTTCACACACTTCACGATTTGCTGATTAATGTCACTTGGTTGCCAATTCAGCAAGGGCGGGCTCAGCCTGGGCACCACTGGTCCCTGTTGCCTATCAGAGTCTTGGCAGATAAAAAGTGCCCAGAGCAGATGTACTGGGGGGAGACATAGATGGTAGAGGGATGGGTGGATGGGAAGACAAAGAAATGGTTGGATGGATGGATGGATGGGTGGGAGGGTGGATGGATGGATGGGTGGGAATATGAAGAGATGGTTGGATGGGGGGGTGGGAGGATGGGTGGATGGACGGATGGATGGATGGGAGGGTGGGTGGATGGTTGATGGATGGATGGATGGGAGGGTGGATGGATGGGAGGGTGGGTGGAGAGGAGGGTGGGTGGATGGTTGATGGATGGATGGATGGGAGGGTGGATGGATGGGAGGGTGGGTGGATGGGAGGGTGGGTGGATGGATGGGAGGGTGGATGGATGGGTGGATGAATGATGGATGGATAAGAGTGTGGATGGGTGGGTGGATGAATGAATGGGTGGGTGCATGGGAGGATGATGAGATGGATGGGTGGATGGATGGGAGGGTGGAGAGACAGAATGACCACTGGGTGAGTGGGATGGATGCATGGGTTGATGACTAGTGGTCTCTGTGTCTCTCAAGTACAGAGATGGCATCAAAGTCCCCTCAGCTCTGCCTTTTGAAACCTTCACTCGTGGTTAAGGCAGGCTGGTGTGGGCCTCACTCCTTACACCTTCCCAGGGCACATCTTCACCTGGTCGTGGAGGGCATGGAGGTCACAGGCTGGAAATGCAGACTGCAGGGGAAGATGCTCCCCCTCAGGCTCCCCAGAGAGCCAGGACACTGCTCTAAGCCCAAAAGTGGTGACCAGAGGAATGGGGGCTCCTTGGGAGAGGTGCAGCTTGTTTGTGGGAGGAGTTGGGGGGTCTACCTGGGAGGCAGAGGCTGGGCCATGGATGAAGGGGCACAGGAGGACTGGGGCAATGGCGAGGGACACAGGGACCCAAGATTAGGATCACACTCGGAGCAAGTCAGGGCCCTGGGAAGACAGGGAGTCTCCGCAGGGAAAGGCCCTCGGCATCTGGGAGGTGGGCTGGGGGCTTCCAAAGAGAAGTCGAGGCAGGAGGGTGAGGGCAGGGACAGCGGGGCTCTGAGGAGGGCACCACCCTCCTGCCACAGGGCACACGGAAGCCCAGGCCTGGGAACATTCCTCCCTCCAGCATAGGGTGGCCCAACCGGGGTCCCTCAGAGTTCCTACTCAGACTCCCCCCGGGAGACCCACCCTGAGCCGCCAGCCCCACGAGGGCCCCTAAACGTGCAGGTAGGCCGCACTTCCTGTGGTCACCCCAGTTTAATTACAAACAGACAGACGTCCAGTCCAGGCTGACAGGTAGGAGACAGGCTGCAGCCGCGTCCGTCCGTCCTTCCTCCTGCTCCAGAGATGGGGCAGGGCCTCACGTCCGCTGTCCTGGAGCGGCAGGCCGCCCCCCCACCAACGTGACC